CCCCCAAAATTACACCTCTGATATGACACAACTTTATTAACAAAAATAAGTATGAACAAAAATGTACATGATATAATAGATGTCTACGCGAAGGCGCTATAAAACAAAAAAAAAAAAGAACAAGAACGAAAATCGAACTTGCGCTCAGATGTTGTAACAAGTGGTCGAGATTCGATGTACGCAGGAAGAAAAGATTGTCAAGAACACGGCTATAAATAATATGGTTGCATAACGACTGTAAAAGTGTGAAGCTCAAAGGGTATATTGATTTTCACGGCATCGTACAACGCTCTCTAGGTGATACATTTATTAACTAGATACACTTGATATCGATTATAAACGTATTAGCATTGTAGCAAATAATAGTATTTATAATCAATAATATTAGATATTAGCAGGGACTTAATTTTCTATTAAGAAGTAATCAATTTGGAAAATTTTTTTTTCGCGTTGTTCAGTTGTATTACTTCAACACATTTCAAATAACTATGTTGACGTATTCTCATTCTTAAATACATAATAAACATTTTTGTGAGTATTTCGCTTTTATGTTTTTTACAGTTTCACGTTATTTTGAAGATTTTATAGTAAATCAATCTTTGTTTTTTCGAATACCGTTTGAGAAACTGCACACTTCTCAAAACTTAACTCAAATCAGGCACGTATACAAAAAAATATTTTGGAAAGGGTTTTAGGTTGTCCATTTTCATAATTATATAATCTATATACCACTTTTACGATACCCTATATGATCAGTACTTGGCGGCCATCTACAGGGCGTGAATTTGTTCCGTAGTTTCGCTTCGAGCGCTTTTGTCTACAGGAGCGTCACCTTATTTTATAATCAGCAACTAATGAGTAAACATCATCTAAAATGTACAGCGCGATGCGATAAAGGTTTTTAACACATACAACAGGGCTTATAACTTATAACATTTACAAATTTTTTTGAAAGGTCATAGAAATACTTATGTGAGCTACACATTTGTTTTAGATAAATGAGAAGCTAAAAACAAAATTTTACGTTGCATATTTTTACATATTTCAAAATATAAGTGCTATTTTGCTTTATTTCTATTTTATAGACTTATTCTTGCATATTTGATATTTTGCTTTTTTAAGTATTTTTCAATTCCGTAGCATTTAAAACATATTTTCTTGAAAATAACAAGTAATTAAAATAGCATTAATTTTCATATTTGTAATTAATTCAAGTTAATTAACTAATTCTTCTTCTTTTGGTTTAAATAATATATTAATGATATGTTTTTTTAATAGTAAATGAAAATTGTTTTTTCTTTACATGATATATTTTTTTTCGCATTATTTTGTATTTTTAGTGAATATTTATTTAAAAGATTTAATGAATATTTTTAAGATCAAAATATAGCGCTTATAACTACTTTTTTTAGAGCTACAAGTTATGAGCCCTGGTTACATATAATAATTTCGCACGCGCAGTGACGCGGTGACATCCTGCACGCTCCCGGAGCGTCCATACAGAGAACACGACGTGTTGAATCAACGGGTAGTATGTTTGGCGGGAGGCTGACCTGCGCGCCATCGACGAAAACCGTTCACCGCCGAGGGCTCATAGTGGATAGAGCTGCGGTACGATTCCGCGCATCAACATTATTTTTACGTCTACACAACGTTGCCAAACATATATTTGCTCGGTAAAACGGTTTGTGGCGATTATTACTTATTAATATTACTAATAATTATTTAATATCGCCGATACCAGAAAAAACTTTTATCATTTAAATCCCATCACTTTTATCTGGAATTATTATCTTTATTGTAAATCCCCGAATAGGTACAAATCACAGATATATATTAAAACATATAAATCAAAATAATATATTGATTTATGTATTAATATAAAATGATAATATATTGATTGATATATCCGTGGTACGAATATACTATACTATCTTAATATATATAATATACCTATGCAGGTAGTGGAATGCATAGTTTTATATTGTATGCACGATGTATCTATCTATTTACTGTCATTTGTGTTCGCGTTTCGGTCGTGTAAATGTCGATACATCAGACAGTGGGCTGATAGATATGTCAGATGGAGGTGCTGTAAAAAACAGTGTACGTCTACTGTATTAATGTATTAATGACAACTGATGATTCCATTTTAGAAAACGCTAGTGAGCATAACCACCCTGCAGATTCAGTTTGAAAGATCAATAGGCGAGATTATAATTTAAAAATGTATTATTATATATAAAATTTTATATATTAAAAGTTATTATTAAATAACTTTGGCAACGTCGCATTTAATTTCACGCGCAGTCGTACACGCCTTCGAAGGGTCTAAATCATGTTCTTTGTTATTCCGGCACCACGCGCATACATACAAAGGTAATCCGCGCATAAACGTAGTCCGGCGGTGAATAGGGTATACGTAAAAACATATTTAATAATATTCCTGCATGTCGAGAGGGGTTTGAACCCCTAAAACCCTCTCTTGTTCACGCGCCTGGCTCAAATGATTTTATAATTAAGTATTAACATGATGATTAGGGCGAGATAGATAACCTATCGTTTTTATATTCACAAATTTATATTTGCGTGGTAATGGGGGCATATTTATTATCGTATGTTATAATAGCCTAACCGCAGCTATAATCTATATTTTATTTGATCTCTGTAGGTTGCACTTTATTCTGCTTATATTAGTCACGTAACTTTTCTATAACATTCTGGCTCGCCTTCATTATGTTCAGCATAGGTCCGTTCCGTAACCATACTATCTGTAGCCGTGGTCAAGATTAACGTGGGCGACGACGGTAAAAGTACATACGATTCGAGCGACAGTCAGGCATCGATCGCGAACGCAGGCTTGTCGTTGCTATTGGTAACGCAATGAAGGCACGGCGTCGGGCTCCACAATTGCCAACCGCGTTACTTCAGTGAAAAAGCACAGTAGTGGTGACCGACCGCATGTCCTTTACGCGAACGGTCGTCGAAATAAAATTTAATTACACCAAGTTAGTAGAGATTTCATGCATAGCCGATGATGCCTTTGGTGAACTACAAGAAGTTGAACAAAAACACAGAAAATACTGGGTTCACCTGATGAATAGAAATCGGGAATCATGTCTAGCCTATAAAGTTAATTAAAAAATAATATATATGCATGTAATAATCATACAGTATATACTATTTAAAACACTAATACGTATGAAAAGGCATCCACTATGGGGTATCATGGGTGCCATGGCTCCTCGCTATTTTAGTTGATATTAAATATTAATTGTTTCATACTTTTATCACTTGTAAAAATATACAAATAGTATATACTGTATATTATAGTCACGTTTAATATATCACATATTTAATGCAAGTAGACAACTTAAAAGGTGAATTGAAAGTATTAATAATGGTAGTGCTAATAATGAAGATGTATTTTTAAGTATTATAGTTGATGTAAACAAGTATTTGAATGATATAGAATTATATTTATTTAAGATTAACATCAAAACAAACATTAAGAAACAATAATTTTCCATCAAATTATTATAGAAATCAAGAAATATATATCATACTTAGATTCATTAATTTTATCCTTAAATTATAGATTTACGGAGAATAATGAAAAATTTGAAATTAAAATTAATTTAACTAAAAGCTTTATTTAAAATTATTTAATATCAATAATACTCAAATTACATGTATAAATAAAGATATATTTTATTTTAGTTTGTATTAAGTTTCAATAAAAATATGGTAATTTAGATAAAATTATGTTATTTTGTTTATATCAATAAATTACAGGTAAGTATGACATTTTGTAACGGTAATTTTATAATTTTGATTTTGCTCATAATTTGAGTATTTTAAAAGCTCCAGGAGGAGGGGATAATTGTTTTGGGCGATAATCATTCTATAATCCATATGAACAACATGGTCATTGCAGGTTAGGTGAGGTCAGTCTGAATAGGTAGAGGGAATGCCAATCCGTAATATTTCCTGCATTCATTCAGGTAGGAAATATAAACTGCAGGGATGTTAAACCGTCATGAACACCTTTCAACCTAATATTTTATCTGTTATTCAAAAAAAAAAAAAAGAAAAATGTATACTATACTATTTATAACCATTAATTGTTTTTAGTGTCACACCTAGAGTGGAAAATCAAAACATGCATTAAATCAAACGGTTAAGTCATAGATGTAAACATGTGGAGCACCGGCTATGCCCAAACATCCCCTAAAATAAATATTATAAATGGGGCTCTAAAATTTCAGCCTAAGGGTGAGAGGCCCGTATTTTAACTGATGTTGTTCAAATTAAATTTAATTCATTCTAGAATATATATAACTATAAAAAAATTAATTATGTTTCGTTATAGACAAAATAAAAGAAAAATTTCTACATTTTCGTGCAAAACCTATTATGATAAAACAGCAGCTAGTGTATGTTCAGCAGTAATGAATTAAAAAAGTACAAATCAGAAATAATTGAAAAATATACGGGATTCAAGAAAAAAACATATTCGTTAGGACTAATATACCACAATATTAAATAAAAAACTAAAGTTATATTTAATTAATTATTTTAACGTTTTGTCGATATAGGACCTGAAAGTATAGTAGGTACCCCTTGAATTATAGATCTGAGCACGCCTAAAATACGAGGCATTATTTAAATAATATTACAACAATAATAATAAATTCTAACCAATTCCGTCGCGCTATCGTGCCCCGGTGGTGGTATAATCTATTCTATGGTGTAACGCATAGAGATATTAACAACGCTCAGAACAAATTAAATCTAATCTATTCTGCGATAACACCAAGGTTTATTGATTAAAGATAAGGAATATAGATACTGTAATCTATAAACCTCGATGTAATATATCGTGGTACATTTGTCGTTTTCATAACGCGACAATCGATGCCCCGTACGCACTGCACCATCTGCGCACCATCGTTGGCTGCACTGTGATTTACCGGAAAGACGCGGTTGGCCCGGGCTCGAGGGCGCTGTGGTGTTCGTCCCGTTCATAGTTCACGCTGTTCACTGTAATTTTGCGCCTCAGTTTATCTTTATCCCATCGTCTGTTGTGTTTGTCTATGCGTCCGCCGTCTTAGTGAATAACAACGAAATCGATAACAGAATCCGTCTCGCCGCTCTGGTCAGCATCATCGTCTTGGTGCCGTTTGCTCGACGGTTCCTTTGGTTTGCTTGTCGGTCTGTTTCCGCCGCCACCATAGCATTTAGTGATAACCAACCTCGTCCGATCAACTATCGTATTCTTGCTCGCTGTACCGCGTCTTGTGTTTCGCTGTAACGATGACCGTCATGGCATATCGTTTGGCCGTCGTTTAACGACCCGTCGCAGAAAAACCGATTCGCCGCCACCTCATCCATCGGAAATTTTTCCGTTCTTCAGTCTTCTCACCGTCCGGTGTGTGTGTGTGTTGCACGTTACATGGTCGCCGAGATGAAATTGGTAGACAATGTGGTGCGTAGCTTCAAGGTGGCTAAAGTGTTCCGCGAGAATACTGACAAGATCAACAGTTTCGACTTCTCGCCCGCCGGCGACTACATTATATCGTGCAGCGAGGACGATCAGATCGTCATATATGATAGTCAAAAAGGCGAGTTATCCAAAACCATCAACAGTAAGAAGTATGGCGTCGATCTCATACACTTTGCGCACACCAAGACCACAGCTATTCACAGCTCGACCAAAATTGATGACACCGTCAGGTATGAACTATCCCGGTGCAGGATTTCCACCTATGCATAGCTCCCCTGTATCATCTAGTTCGATCTAGTGGCAATTTAGTGTTTATTCTCACGATTTTCATTCTGTCAACTTAATTATGATATAAGTGTTTATACGGAGACATTCTGTATTTTGTAACTTTCAAACGAAGCAAATGACTATAGCAATAGATACTTATTTAAAAAATAATTTCTACTTTTTTTCTATTTAAGTTAATGTAATACCTTGACCAATGTTTGTTAAATGGATATAAACCTATTCAATATCGGTAACACATATAAGAGATATTTTAAGCTGCTGTCACTTAGCTCTGAATATCTGTAGGTATCATAGCTAGTTATATTGTTTGAGTACATATGAGAAGAAAATTATATCATAAATATGTTATCCTTATTATACTTCTGAACATAATATAATACAATTCAATACTGTTATCAATTTAAGATTTTTATCATTAAAAATTTCAATAAAATACAAAATTATCAGTTGTTACTTTTTAAGATAAAATCAATTAAAATTTTTTTAAAATATTTAAAATAAAAAAATGTACTGTAACATGATTTGTTTTAAAAAAAAACAATTATATATATACTCAAATTTAAGTATGAATAACAATATAAATATACTTTTAAGTAAGAATATGATAATACCGACTAAGGAATCACCAAAATTAAATGATCTAAATATTATATTAGGTACCTATATTTTATTCCATTTATTCAAACAATGTCAGTTTTAGTATGTTTCTCCAATTTGTGCTTATTAATTTTTATTCTAAGATAACCTTTATAGTTACCAACATTTATCAAAACAGACATGGTTTATTACTGTGTAAACTTAATACTTAAACGTCTGATGATACTTGTATTTTGTGTATAAAAACAATATTGGTTTTTATTGTATTTCATATTCTTTAGGTTTGAAATTTAACCCGTTATTGGTATCGTGGTGAGCGGTGCTCACCTCGTAAGTATTTTGAAAACCACTTGTTTAATTATTTCTTGATTTCTCTGATACTATTTTTACTCTCAATTGACTATACACTAAATGTATTTTTTGTCAATCTAATAATTTTATAAATAATTCTTGATATGATATCGACATGTAATATCATTAATGTCCATAAAGTGAGCGTTATGCTCATTCCATAGGAATGTAAATATTATTATATTGTTATAAAGGTTTTTTTTTAAAATAATGTAGTTTTTAATTTTTATTGTTTGAAATATTTGTGATCAGGAAAAATGTTCATAATTATATTTGTAAAATAATTAAATTTAAATAATCTAGTGTTGGTTTCAATTGTATATGCTTATTAAATAATAAATAATGATAAAAAACAGTGAGGTGGCGCTTACTTAACACCAATGGCGGGAAGTTACATAACGATACCAAAAGATTTAAAAGAGCAAAATAATTATTGTAGGTATAATGATACCATGCATAGTACCAAGAACAATTATATAGGTATTTCATGACTATCCCATCATATTTAAATAATCATATATTCTTGTTTTATATTAATGAATATATATATATACACCCATAGATAGTTATAGTAGATATCTAATTAATATAATATTTAATTGTATTTGAATGTGGAGTAATTAACTTTAAAATATTTATGTCATTACTTTGTAATGATTTTATAATAAAAAAAAAAAAAAACAGTTATGTACCTATATTAGTTAGGAATTATAAATATCAAAATTGTATTTTCTATACTTTCAATTATTTAGGTACATTATTTTTTTTTTAATTTTCAGATATTTATCATTGCATGATAATAAGTATATCAGATATTTCACGGGACATACAAAAAAAGTTGTGTCATTATGTGTATCACCTATTGAAGACATGTTTGTATCTGGATCATTGGACAAAAGTCTAAGATTATGGGATTTGAGGTCACCAAATTGTCAAGGATATATTAATGTAATGGGAAGACCTGTAGCTGCTTTTGATCCTGAAGGTTTAGTGTTGGCAGCAGGCATAAATTCTGAAACGCTGAAATTGTTTGATATTAGGTAAATAATACTTTTATTTGTTTTCATTAAGTGCATTTAGGTATTTAGTTAATGCCATATTTAATTTTAGATCTTTTGACAAAGGACCATTCATTACTGTAAAGCTTCCTCAGGAGAAAGAATGTGATTGGACTGACCTCAAATTTAGTCAAGATGGCCGAACGATTCTTATACCTACTAATGGATCTTTAATTAGGTTGATTAATGCATTTAATGGTACACCTATTCAAACATTCACTGGCCATCTGAATAATAAAGGAATTCCAATTGAAGCATCATTTAGTCCAGACTCTCAGTACATTTTCAGTGGATCAACTGATGGCCGTATTCATGTGTGGAATGCAGTTACTGGTTATAAAGTTTGTGTTCTCAATGGTGATCATATAGGACCAGTTCACTGTGTTAAATTCAACCCTAAATATATGATGATGGCTTCAGCATGTACAAATATGGCATTTTGGTTGCCCAGCTTAGATGATGGAGCAAATTTATCATAAGTTACAATTTATTTTATTAGTGGTTTGTCTAAGACTTAAATCTATGTTGTATTATATATTGTACTCCTTATAAGTCAAAAGAATTTTAATTTTTGACTGTGCTTTATAATTTATTAAATTTTAATTTATTTAAATATTTAAAGAGTAAATGCTTATTTATTTTACTTGTGATTATTTTTAATTTTTGGGTGAATGCTCATTGATATAAGTCAATTTTAATTTGTGCTATTATTCCTTTTGTAAGCTCAAATGCATTCAACATATTTTGATTTTTATATTTCATTTAAGATTATTAATTACACTTTGAAATGTTTAAAATTGATTGATATTCATTAGCATTGATCTAATATATCATGTATAATCTATAAAGATTTTTCTTGTAAATGTTTTCAAGTTAACTGCTGAATTACATTGTTATAACATTGATATTACTTTATGTGATCAAAGTATGAGTGTTATTTAAATTAAAAGGGTTAAGTTTATGTACAAATATTTTAATATCTTAACCAGTTGATTCTTTCTTTTAACTGACAATCTTCTAAAATCTATTTGACTTTTTTGACTGGATTATCGGTTAGCGATTTGACATTCAGCAGTGTTGACAGTGTTTATTTATTTGCTATTTACAACATGGACATATTTTTAAAAAAGGTAATGCTCATTGACATTTTTAAACAGTCAGTACCTTAACTAATGGTGCTTTAAAACATATACATATATATAGATCAGACTCCCTTAATTTTGAGATTTATCAACAAATTTCAATTTTAAAAATCTTAATATCATACTTATGTTTTGAATAAGTATAAGTTAAAATATTGAACTTAGTATTTCGTTAAAATTGTAAATAATTTGAACACCAATTCTAAATCATATATTAGATATAGTATTTTCCGTTATGATCTAAAGTAATAAAAGTTACTATTATTTTAGTCTTAATGTTTATTGAAGTAAAAAATTTTCAACAATAAAATGTGTAAAGAAATTTGTATTTCGTTGTATTATAATTGTTTAGTATGTTATTAATTTATAATATATATTGTACAATTTTTTTTTATCGTGAATTTTCTATGTGCAAGTAAACATCCTTCAATGTTTAATTCAACTTTGCATACAACTATTTTTTATTTTTAAATTATTTTATATGGTTTGTTGAATATGAATGTCTGAATAGTTTATTTGTAGTATTATCTTATAATTTTACATCCTCATTTTTTGTATACTCATATTTTAATTTTTTAAGTTAAAATGTTAAGTATACTTAGAAATTTTATTTATTTTATAAGATAAAAACGTATTAATTAAATATGTTTTCCATGAACCAATATTTGTTACTTTTTAAACTATTTATTGGATGCAAATGTATATCAAATATCTCAATATTCTAGTACTGTGGTTCTCAATTGGTGTGTTGCCAAATAAATTGTTTTAAAAATTTGATTTGAATTTTTGTATTATTTATGTATGAATTGCTTTAAATATTATTTATTCAGTACATTTTCAAAATATAAATATGTTATATTGTTAAGAAGGTATTAACTTATTGGTAAAAATAACAAAACTCATTGATTTATAAATCTATTATTTGTATTTATTATGTTGCCAATTGTTATGGATCTAAATTAAAGTGTCGTGAAAAAAGGGGGAGAACCATTGCACTAGTATAATGTTTAAAATAGTATCAATAAATAATATTATATAAATTAAAATTAAATATGTATTTGTCAAATACTATTTTACCATTTTAATATATATTTTTTTTTAGTCCTAATAATTTATTATTTATTTCTTGTAAATTGTAAGTTTTTTATGAATAAGTATTATTCAATAAAATAAACACGTTTGTAAAATGTGAATAAGGTTATGTTCTGTTACAATAATTTCCAAGTATATATGCTGGAGTTATTAATTAAAATATTACCGATTGTTTATTAGTAATTCTCAAAAAAAAAAAAAAATGTTTTTGATGTTTCTATTAGTGTAAATTATAATGTAAAATTAACATTGCATATGTTTAAATTAATTAAAATTCAAGAAAAATGTATCTGATCATTACAGTCATACCATATTGATTTATGCACAGTGGTGTATTTACACCGGGAGGGGGGGTTACTAGACCCCTCCCAGAACCTCCAAAAAATAAAAAATAAATAAAATTCTTACATATTTGCAGAATTGGTTATGTTAAACATTCACAGGGAGGTTGAAATTACTTTTGATGAAGTGATAGAGGAGTTGGTCAAAAGATCGAGACGACTGGAATTTATTTTATAACAATACTTTATAATATATAGTGCTAAATACAATATATAGGTATATATATATATATAATTTATATTAATTATGTACAAACTGTGGACCCCTAGAAAAAATTGAAAGTACGCCACTGTTTATGCATATTCATGTTTATCTAATGTAAAATGTATGAATAAGTTAGATATTTTTAAACAATGATTGTCAAAAAAATTTGTATTTAAAAAAAATTCAAAATTCAAAGTAAAATAAATCTCTTTTTTTTTCATTTGTTGTTTTTTAATCTACAGTTTGTAATATTTGCTCAATCTCCTTTTATTAAATTACCTATAAATTATCATATTTATATATATTTTATACTAGTACATATTTCATATAATATAAATAATAATATTGTATGATTTTGTGCATATTTTTGGTTTATTTTTTTAAATTACGATTGTGTTGCTTGTAATTTATCATACTGTATACGGTGGATTCTGTTTATGTGAATACATTTAAACCAAACCCATTTGCCTACATCAAGCGGTTTGCCATTTATATTGATCTTCGAAAATACCAATATTTTTAAAAACATAGTTTTTATTTTGTACACGTAAATCACAAAATGAGAAAACATTTTTTTTAATTAAATTCATAGAAAAATAAATATCCAAATTAATTATATAATATAATCTCGAGACGCATCATATGTTTAGCCATTTTGAATTATTCATATTTTATACTTCACTTTGTCCAAAATCGTAATTTTTTTTCTTGAGTAACTTTCGAGACAGTCTTTGTGAAGTATAAAAAAAAAAAAATTAATCATGATTCTTCAATATTGCAGCATTTTATTCATGGTGAAGACAATGAGTGATGTATTTTTTGAATATAGGAAGAGATATGTAAACCACTTCTTTGGGCATAAAGTTATGTATTTGTGTCCCAATGAAATCATGCATTTTACAACATCCAGTTTTTTTAGGAAATTTTAGTGAATAGTTATTAGTAGCATATCTAGTGTATTACTGTGTATAACTGTGAATTACATGGGATAATAGGTTATGTTTTTTTAGGTAAATTGTACAGGTTTTTATATATAGTTTATTTATATTAAGTACATTAAATTCTTCATATAATTTTTTTTGTTACAAGCAACTCTTATAATAGTATTTTGGGATTTTTGAAAGTTCTTATATTGTAATCACTTTATTATAAACATTTTATTTGTGATTGTGATGTTCTTCATAATCGTTTGTTATATTATCATTTGTCATACCGTGATGTTCGTGAATTTTTAACTTTAATACTTTTCGTTTATTATTTTTTTAATATATATTACCTAAGTATGAAGTAATAGTACTATTTTTTACTTTATGCAGTATTGATAGTTTATAATAATCATAAATACGACTATGCCACTTAAAAAGTTTATTTCGGGATGTCAACAAATAAAAAGTTGCGTTGTCTAAATTATGTAAAATATCATATCTACACTTTTAGAAATGATGAACATGAGCACATTAAATATTGTCAACGATGGTAAGTTAAACAAATAACACATTGATCTTATTGATTATTCAGTTCATTTACAATTTACAAATTCATTAGTATATGTGCCTTGTAGTAGGTACTCATTTATTGAATTTTTTTTTCGGTTTCCTTAAAAATGTCTACAACTTCTTCAGTAGGTCAACTTATCGATGGAACATTTAAATTAATTCCTTAAAAACGAATATAAAAAATCAACTTTTGGTTCCAAAATCTTTAAGTGATATCAGATGGTCTTGTCATGTTGAATCTTGTCGAGCACTCATAAGTACACACATATAACACGCTCATAACTAAAACTTTGTTAAATATGTCTGTAAGTAATTAAGAAAATCTTGATACTAAAAAGGATGTTCGATTTTGCTATACAAAATATTTAAAAAAAAAATAAAATAGCACATTTAACATAAGTGTTGTATGATATATTAGAAAAATTGAACAAAACTTCCGTAGAATTACAAAGAAATTCATATGATCCGTTAGAGCAGGGATTCCCAACCACTGTGCCTCGAAATTATTCAGGTGTGCCGTATAATTTTTGAAATTTTATAATTTTTTAAGCATAACTAAATATAATAATCAAAATTATAATTTATATTTATGATAGCATTGAGTTCGAAATTCCCTTGAAAATAAAAAATAATAAACTGTCCTGATGAAACAGCTAGGTATAATATTATATAAGATTCGATACTACTTACCCCATACGGGTATTACAAGCAGTTGCGTTGATTTTTACTAGAGTGCCTCGAATTAGAGTGCTTCTATCGAGGCACTCTAATTTTTACCATATACTATAATGACTACATGAAAAAATAGCCGGTGCTCATTATAATGAAAATTGAGCACGTGTAATTATTACGCATTATACTGTATAGGTATTTCGATCAAGAAATATTGTAAGTTAGATTTCGAAATGGATAGATTTTTAAAAAAGCGTAAATTAACGGATGGCAGTGATATTAATGCAAATGACAACAATTTAAATATTGAAATTAATATTAAACAATCAGCTTTAATAAGTGATAAAAGTTTAAATGTAAAAGTTAAACGTAAATATGCTGATAATTATTAATGTTTTGGATTTACGTGGAAATGATGATATTGATTGTCCTTTAACAGTTTGTATCGTTTCAACTGTTTCACCCCTAATAGAGGAATTATGTAAAACACACCAGTCTCAAATGTCACATTAAATTTGTATCATATATATTATATTATAATATATTATATATAATTATGACATTATGTATATTCATTATTATTTATTTAAGTGTGCCGTGGAAATTTTTAAAATGATCAAGTGTGCCGTTAAGTAAAAAAGATTGGGAATCCTTGCGTTAGAGGCTTTACAATTATTGAAATCTTTAAAATATTTTATTTTTAATTTGAGAGATAACAATAGGTAAATTGTATGAAACTAAAGTCTCTGAACTTTTAGCAAAATATATATAAGATACCAAGATGAAGATAAAAGGATTAAAACATTTTTCTGATGGTATTAATCAAGTTTCATTAAATGGCTGCAATCGTACCGGGTAAGAGGAGGATCAAGGGAGCAGTTTACACCAGAAGCAATTTCTTAACGACAAAAATGAAAGTTTTGAAGTTTTCTAAAGTAATATAATTTTTAGGAAAAATTATTAATCATTGAAAAATAAATATAACAAATAATAATAGTGATATAATATTATATGGCCTATCGCAGAGTCATCAGGTGAATGAGCGTTCAGTATGTTATTAGATCATATTGCGCTTGGACCGACGCATTTATATTTTTGTTCATATTATCGTCGCTAGTAAGACGTGTTTTTTGTGATCGCGAAAAAATATTCTGCTTGATGTCTCATGAGAAACAACATTATGATTTATCTATTTGAACATTTGAATTTTTCAAAAGCGTTGAAGACAGTGGCATACATTCAATCTTACTCTGGGGGGAGAGGAGAAGTTTAACAAAAATAATCGTTATCTTTTTTTTTTCGTTGCACAGATAAATAAGATAAATAACTGCTATAAATAGATATTATTTTATACAACTTTTTTACCAATTTACAGTTTACTTTTACATTATAGTAAATTATTTTTATTTTTTTTTTTGGCTTATTCCGGGCCTTGAAGGTCCATCGCCGCTTCTACTACACCTCACAATTCTCTGTTCTTCGCCAGTTGTTCTCCCTCTCTAATCCCCAGGAGCTTGAGGTCTTCTTTAACTCGGTCTGTCCATCGCTGCCTTGGCCTCCCTATCGGTCGTTTCTTATTTGGTTTCCACATTGTGACATCATGTACTGTTTGGCCTTCCGCTCTCCATATATGCCCGGCCCAGCTTATTCGTTTACTTTTAAGTATTCCCACTATGTTTGGCTCGTTGAACATTGCCCTTAATTCTGCATTAGTTCTTCGTTCATATAAATTTTCCTCGTTTCTTTTGGGTCCATAAATTCTCCGCAGTATTTTCCTTTCAAATAGTAGTAATCTTTTCTCGTCCGACTTTGTTGATGCCCATGCTCCACAAGCATATAAAACTATAGGTCTCATGAGTACTTTATATAGTCTTATTTTTGTATTTTTGGAGATTAATCTTGATTTAAATATAGGTACGAGAGCAAATTTATAGCTCTTATTTCCTGCATTTATTCTCCTTTTAATCTCATCATGGCTGTTTGCTTGTTGGTTAACATCTACTCCCAGGTATTTAAAGTTTGTTACCCTTTCGAATGTAAATCCACCGACTACTAACGAATTTTGTACTTGTTCTCTACGTGATACTATTATGTATTTCGTTTTTCCTTCATTAACTTTTAGTCCAATCTCTTTTCCCTTACTTATTAGTTTTTCTGCCGATCGCTTTAGGTCCTCTTCAGTTTCTCCCATAATTATTATGTCATCAACATACGCAGCTAGTGTGATTTGGTGTCCTCCTCCAATTCTTAGGCCCGTGACATCATCAAGTACTTCTCTCACAATCGATTTTAAGGCTATGTTAAATAATGTGGGGGATAACGCATATCCTTGTCTAAGACCTGTTTCAACTGAGAAATCTTCAGATATTTCTCCGTTGAACTTAACTATACACTTGGACTTTTGCACACATGTCTTTATCAATCTCACCAATTTTGTAGGGATTCCGAGTTGGGTCATTGCTTTCCATAATCTACCTCGATTTACGGAGTCATATGCCTGTTTGAAGTCAACAAATAGTAGGTGCACATCTATGTCGAACTCGTGACTTTTCTCTACTATTTGTTTTATTGTATGAATTTGATCCACTGTAGATTTCCCTGACATAAAACCTGCCTGATATTCCCCTAGTAAATTAATAGCTATTGGAATTTAAAAAACAGCATAGTTAACAAAACTTTTCAAACACCTATCAATATAATTATTTAATTATTATAATATTTGTATAGTAGTATATTTTAAGTTCAAAGCGTAATAATGAAACTACGAATATATTAAACGTCATCAATAATAAAACAATTTTTTTTTTTTTTTTTGACCCTGGGGAGGGTTTGAACCCAGACCCCCCCACCGTATGTACGCCACTGGTTGAAGACGAATTTATGGTACCTATACCACCTAAACATTTCATGATTTTATACCGAAATACTTATCAAATGAAGATTCGAACAGTTTAATTGGGACTCAAATAATTTGCTTACGTCTGTTGGAAATCCTCGTTATACTTTGCAATAGGTAATAGTTTTTATATATATGTGATGTACGTGAATATGCACAGAAAGGAATTCGTTGAGCTGGAAATTCCAAGCGTTGTCTCTATCACGAATGATTACATTAATGTATTTGACATAAATCAGTCATAGTATTAGGATTGTTCAGTTCACGTGCGTGTATTTAATTTTTGTAGTTTAGTTGTAAATTAAAAGGTAGATATTTACTTTTTCTCTTTTTGCCTAATAATTTTCCTAGTTTTAATCAAATTTTGTGTTAGTACATAATAAAACGTCTTGGCAATCGTGTCGTTTTTTTTTTTTAAAGCGATCATATTGATAACAATGGAATTTTAAGTTAATTTTATTTTAATTGTTTTAATAGATATTTGCACTTGATTACTCGAAGCAACAATTTTGTGAAATTTTAAATATAAATTTATTTACGACTAAAATTGATCAACATTTCATGTGAAGGGAATATATTATTTATTAATCTTATTACTTACAAAGCACTACGTATTATGGTTTTTATTCGTTGAAATGTGTCGGACTTTAACCTTGCCAATTGCCGCTTAATGATTCGCCATATACTTTATAGTACGGTGGATTTTAGAATAAAGAGTTGTTATATGGTCCCTTTATATTCAGAAAATTGAATTTCATACACTCAAGATTGGGTTCCGACAAATAGGGAAGATACGACGGAGACAATACGCCATAAAAAGTTTTAATAATATCATACTTTTTAAATCAATATTCTAGTGATTGTACGAATTTCGTCACCGGTCCTAGTTCGGGGTCAACATTATGCACGAGCTAACATTATATTTAATTATAATTATGATCATTAATACTACGGTATACACGCACTGTAATGAACTATGTATCTATTAGTATAGCAACACATTTTTGGTACGAATCGTGGTAATTTAATTGTACATGTTAGTTAAAATTAAAAACAAAACGAAAATATGTGTTTATTTAAACATTTCATCGATTTGTCCCGGTTGAAATTTGTCGAATCGTGCACCCACGTAGCATCCGTGCGCCAAGCAAACGTTTGTCATGATAATTTATTATTGTGTCACGTGTGTCGATGATTTGTGTCAGTTGATCCGACGACGAATCTAATTTGAAATCTGTATTGTATTATGATTGCATTTAAGACTGTGGTTCAACCGGTAATCGTTAGATTTCCACTGCTCCCTTTGCGGATTTCTCCTTTTCTTTCTGTGACGTTAACGGGTATAAACTCAATGTATCCGGGGTTTTTCAAGTTTTTTATGTTGTGTTTCATACTGAAAATGCATTCACACGTGAGTTTAGAGCGATAAGTACCAAAGTGTTACTACTCTTAGACTGGCTACCGCTTAAACCTTTTAAGTGTCCGTACGCGCAAAAGGAAGAAGGCGTTTTATGTCAAATTATTATGCGCAGAACGTTCAAATGTTTCCCCGTCAATTTAATCCCCACGTGCGTCCCCGGCTTACTATCGTTTCCAATGTTTTTTATTTATTTATTCATCGTATATTATATCGCTGTGCTTAGACGCCCGTCGCTTCATCCGAACACTCACCTTGAGTTAGTTTGCATGTCGATGAAATCGATTGTTCCCGTAAATGATTGTGCCGAGATGATCGTTACGCATTCAACCAAGTGCGGCACTTCTAACAACACGTCTCCCTAAATTGGCACCAACGGTGCATCAACATTCGTTAAAATATAATAATATCAGTGTGTTTAATATCGGCACGGCGCATGCATACGAGACCAAGCAGTGGCGTACCCAGAATTTTATTTTCAGGAAATTGGAGTAATCAGTTTCGTATCACATTAAAAAACATTGAAAACTTAATAACTAGTAAGTAAGTACGAGTATGTAAAAAGAAAAAGAATAAATCACGGTTTGGTTATGCTAATAGCGTATGGCACCTTTTATTAAGTTGTGCAAGATTAAAATTTACTGAAATTTTCTTAGGGCTGCAGTACGATCAGTTACCCCCGGATACGCCACTGAGCGCAGGTAAAAAATGTTACCGTAAATAATTAAAAAACACGCGGTTTGGAAAATTCAAACATAATCATCGATCGATCTCACTTTAGACTTTTCCAGTTCTCCCGATACTTTGATAAGTAAAAAATTGTCCGTTCCGGAGGTCATTTGCAAGCTCGTCACGTACTTTAAAGGCAAATGATCTTTTATCTTTTGATTTTTATCAGTTTTCTCCACGAATATAATAGCGTTAGCGGTAATTGCCAGAATTCTCTCTCGTCGTTTGTACCCCCGGCGATTGAATTTCGTCACTTTCGTGGCGTACTACAAGTAAATGAGTAATATTATTATGTTACCTTATTAAAAATAACGAGACAAAAACAATAAACATTTTATTTCCGAAAACCGACCATATAGGTTGTGTTAAAATTGCTGTCTTCTGGGAAGACATTTATCAATTGCCGAAGGATTCCGCAACGATCGTTGTCAAAATTTATTTTTAAACTCTCCGGGTACATTGATTTTTTACCTTAAACATATTAGAACATTCCGTATTAATATTATTTCCAGAATTACCGTTGAGGACCCTCAAACGTATAGTGAATCATTTATGACGTTATTTGTACCTTTGAATATTTCGGAAGCGGCTAATTTGAATTGTAGACGTTCGTACAACCCGGGACGTTTAGCTAGGTCTAATCGATAAATCCGAGACAACCAGGCACGATGTAGGGTCATTAGGTATTGAGATATCTGTGTATACACATACACACACACACATAAAGACACGAAAAAACAAATAACATCTGATAAATATATTGTATAGGTGGATTGAAAAATAAATTAGTTTCACTCTAACGCGGAATTCGATTCCGTTTACCTCTACACAGCAAGTCGGTGGTTCGGGCCAACGGTAGTCTATCAGGCTTTTGGGCAACGTCTCAGACAGATCTATCAGATATTTTTTATATCTGTAAGTTTTGAATCTGCAGTTATACGCGTTCGGTGGATCGTTTATCGTCATAAATCCTTTGATGAAGCTGAAAAGAATAACACTAGACAAATTGGTACCTCACTACTGTGTATGAGTGTGTGTGTATTTTGTCTGCATTAAATAACAAGAATCGGCTGACTATAATCATAAATAGGGAAAGGATAGAAATGACTTAATTGCCCTAGAAAAAAAAATGATTTTGAAATTACGATTCAACTGCAGTAAGAATTATAAAATAGCAGTATTGGGCCCTAGAAAAGAACTAATCATGGTCGTAACGGTTACAATTAATTAGTATACATAATAATTAAAAAGTAAATCATATTTGGACTTCAAAATAAATTACGAGTACTCGAATATTACATTTATCATACTACTATTACTGTTTAACCGAATCCAGGTGGAAATGTAAATAACTATGAATAGTTATGCTGCAGATGATATAGCTGTTTAAATTATAATTAAAACCTTGCAACCGGTTACTTCTTTCTTTGCAGAGTTGCACTCAATTATATTAACAAAATTGTGAATTTTCTATTTTCTCAAATTTTAGATGCTTCTTTTTTAAATTTCTTTTGCGAAAATTGGTATATTCGTATTAAAAGTTCAATCTACCTAATTAAAGTATTTGGTTCTTCTACTACTCGTATATAAATTGTCTTTAGAAATAAAATTTTATTTACCCGACATCTTTCACTTAAATTGTTAATTTCAAGAGCAATGGTATGTGGGTTTTATAGTTTAAAAGACAAATACCATTCACCTATTCAGGAATAAAGGTATCACTCTCGACCACAACATTTCATCTTTATTTTACTTTGTATTAATTTATAGTTTTCTCATTCTTATTGCATATTTAACAAGTTTTTTTTTTTTTTTTTTAGAAAATATAGACAATCATTTAAAAATAATTATGTTTGTTTATTATTTATATATTTGTATTTGAATTGAAAATGATCTTGCATTTTTACTTAATAAAATATTACGAAAATAAAAGGAAAATTTATTTTTTAATAAGCTTTAATGTGTCCGTTATATATTTTAACGATTTCAAAAACCCTCGTTCGTTATTTAAATTATAGTTATAGTTTCCCTTCTCCAGAAATAAGTCCACTCTTAGGATTGTGTTCGGAAAAGAAGCTTTCGCTTTATTCCCGGGGACCCAATTCATCAGCCGTTACCTCCGCGATGACGGAACATATAATAATAATAATAATGTTTTTTCAATACTTTCTGATCGTTAAAGCCGCGTTCCATTTCTTCTTGTACGCACTCATGGCCAACATCCGTCGCACGTTTTTCTGTATGAAAACGATTTTTTGCACAACAATCTCGTGCTCCTTGATCCTGCGCAACCGTTCGCGCCGCAGGTGTCGTCGGATCAGCCACTGGCAGCGTATCGTCGTCGTCTTGAGCTGCGTGTACTTCACGCGGGCCACGTGTCCGCGCCACGTCGCTTGGATCGTTGCCGCCAACAAGTGCTTGGAGGCCCGGAATCGGTTTTCGATGTCAAATACGGTTCGCGGATGTTTTATCAACACTTTCGTTCTGAAAACACAACAGCGAGTATCGGATAGTTACGCTTCTTTTCGTATCCATATATTATTATTATTAAGAAGTATTAATAAGAGTGCTCGAGAGATACGTGTTTACGGATAACAACACTAACTCTACTCGCTTGATTGCGGAAAACGTTTTTATTTTCTAGCTCGAAGGAGACGACAGTGTCCCGCGATAATATTTGGTTAGTTACAACCGTGCCGTCGAAATCACTAATCACCATCATTACATACGAGAGCCGCGATTGCGATATGAAAAATCTGGGGACGGTGAAGCTGCCACGAAGAAATTACCGTTGGTTAGCTTTCCCGATTTTTAAAACTAGTCAATTTTCCCGACGGGTAAACTCTCCGGGGATCAACATCAGGTTCACATTATTCACATCGACATCAGTAAGGAAATATTTTAACTTTTTTATAATATTATATCGTTTGGAGATGTATTTTTAGACAACACACACTTCTTCAAGCGTACGTTGTTACGACAGTGCCCGGCATCCCTCTAATCGTGTTATTTAATAGCTATATATGTAACGATTATCGTACTTTCCGATTTTGCAGTCCTCGACGGTGTATTCGAGGTGATCGATTAGTCGCGCTACCGCGTCACCAGCGGTCGTAAATCGTCCCTTCCAGTTAGGCCAAGTATCCGGACACAGGCTCTTGTATCTGTCCAGGAACTCTTCTAACTTTCCGCGATACGTGAAACCGGCTTTCCGAATGTGCAGTATCTCTACCAGGCCCATGTACTTCACTTGGTTCCTCACCACTTCCACGTCGAAATTTCCTGAAAAGCGAATGCCGTCAGTTAAGAAACAGCTTACTAACGTACCCGCGATGCAATCGGAAGCAAATGTTGCGCGGTGGACTCATTCAGTGTACCGTTCATTTTTTTTAACGAATTTTATGTGTTTAGTGACGCGATTCATTCGGTGACAGAAAGTGGTAAATACAACTAAATTAATTAATTACAGTCAGTGGCGAACATTGGAGGAGGGTTCAAGGGTAGCAGCAATGAAAACATTTGCCAACACATCAGAAAATGGTTTATTTTATTTCTTTCCATTTGTTTACAAACGTTTATAACTGAACCCCAGTGGACATAAATGTAGTTATTAAGCTTTAAAATATTTTTTACCGTATAAATTATATTTATAGTAAGAATTTGTATTATTAAGTATAATTATAATAATTAGCTGAGAACCTATATTTTATTTAAATTAATATTCAATAATTTAATATTAAGTTGATTAAGTTAAAAATAAAACAAAAAAAAAGTTGAATGTCTTATTTAATGTAATAGTTATAATTATTAATAAAGATATATAATTAAATTTAAGGGGGGTGTGGAGACAAAGCCTCCATAAATTTATTTTTGAAAGTGGCTTAGTAGCTGTATGGTGTTTGTCTATTCAATATACTACTTCTATTTATTTTTCAGTGTTCGCTACCAAGTACAGTTAAAAATTGAACACTGCAATTCGTTAAAAATCTGTATTTTTCTCTTTTATATTATGCGCGAAAAATATGCCAATACGGTTCAATAAGCTTTTCCAGATATGCAAGAATATATAATAAGAGTATATATTCAGTATTATAATTTATCAATCCTTCAATCAAATTAATTTTTGAAATACATACACACTTTTATAATTTTTAATTATTTAAGGTATCGACGTTGTGGTAATGAATCTGATTGGCTCAAAAGTATCGAAACACTAACGATATCTATAGGATTAAAAAGTTTGAATATATATCATATAATAGTATAGCAAATATTTCTATACATATTATTGGTTTGATTATTTAGTGACGAATCAGCGTAATACCATTTAGAATATGAGTGACTCATGGGTTTGATAATAATATATTAGGGTTGGTGTACATGGAAATTCACTTTCTGAATAATATATATCGATAGAATAGTAGCTCGACTGATCGACGAATTCTAAATTGTTTTTAATTTGTTGTTGAACATATTTATTGTCTATTGATTAAAATATTTGTACGTATTAAAATTGTGTCGGGTAGGTTACGTGAACAACCACATTGTATTAATGTTATTTTTAGTTTTGGACAACCACCGTCAGTTTTGATCCATATTTTAGATTAGTATTTTTTTTTTTTAGATTTGATAAAATTTACTGTCTAGCGCTACAATATATACCCTGGGGGTCTAGACCACATAGCATTTTAGTAAATGTTCTGATCGGCGCAGACAAAGTAGGCATAGTTATGATTATAGTTTGGATTTTATAGACATTTGCTATTTTTTCTATTGACGTAAAACGAAGTTTGCCATTCATTTAGTATATAAAACTTAAAATAAAATAATAAAAACTTTATTTCACCTAATTTAGCATTTCTTAAAAAAAAATTTTTATGGTATTTTTACTTTTAAGTTGATTTTGTATTTGTTTTGATTAAAACGTCTACAAAATATTTTCTAAATTGTAAGATACCAATTAATAAGTCAAAGTATTATAATATGCTAAATATTACTAATTAAAATAATAAAATGTAATGCGTAGAAATCGAATGATATGTAATATGCCAGATGCTAACAAATACGAAATAATAATGTAAATGGGAAGATGCATTTGTAGCCTTCACTTAATTAAAATATTAGTTTGAATTCGTTTAAATTAGTTTAAATTTGTGGCGCTTCACAGAATTAAAAGATTAATTTAAATTCGCAGAAAATCAGAGTCACTCTTTCAATTATACGTAATTATGTTAACAGTTGATGATTCATATTAATTAATGTAAACTAATGTATGTATGCAGTGGCGTACATTCAATCTTGCTCGGGGGGGGGGGGGGGGGAAGTTTAACAAAAATAATCGTTATCTTTTTTTTTTTCGTTGCACAGATAAATAACTGCTATAAATAGATATTATTTTATACAACTTTTTTACGAATTTACAGTTTACTTTTACATTATAGTAAATTAATAGATATTGGAATATAAAAACAGCATAGTTAACAAAACTTTTCAAAAACCTATCAATATAATTATTTAACTATCATAATATTTGTATAGTTGTATATTTTAAGTTCAAAGCGTAATAATGAAACTACGAATAAATTAAACGTCATTAATAATAAGACAATTTTCTTTTTTTTTTTTGACTCTGGGGAGGGTTTGAATCTGGACCCACTCCCCCCCGTATGTACGCCACTATATGTATGTATATATAAATATGTATATGAGCATGTATAAATATATTACACGTTATACATTTTAATTATATTACACGTTAAAAAAATTAACTAAATCTAACAATCAATTAAAACAATCGAACGACGGATGCATGGACGTGACACATCACAAAATGCTATCTACCAACATATAAAAGGGCTCCGGGATCAATACCGATTTCAGACGTGTCCAGCCATTTAGTATGAACACCCTGCTTACGATTATCATTTTTATATTACTATTGTCTTTGCGATTTTTGTCTAAGTGTTAAATATATTATTTAATACTATAGTAATAGTATTCTTACAAATTAACTATTGAACTTTTCATAACTTCATAACTTTCATAACGCTTAGATAAATAACTTAAAACAAACATTATTGTTGCACCGTCAAGTAACCGACGGCACGCTACAGTATACAAACCAGGAATTTTGTGATGGTTCGGTTTGATACATCTGATGTATGAAGGTTGTTTGGACTTGAGTGTAATAATTAATTGATTAAGACTATTCTTAAACTGCTTGATAGTGGTTTCCGGAATCTTTTTGTTAGGTGTCAGACAATCTGAGAAACACGACTGAAAAAAAAATGCACGTGAAACAATGGGTATAAATTATACGAATGGACCCTACGTGAGAGTAGGTACGTTACGAACGCACTTTGATGATTATGTTGGTGGAGTTGGACATGATTTGACTGAGATTTCCAAACAGGGAGTCGTTGTTCTTCTCTAAAAAGCTAGAAGCGTCGTATTTTACGGCACCGGCGAAATGAACGATCAGGAATTCCTTTAAAAATGTGTGCAAATCAACTATCAACTTTTACGTGACGCTGTCAGATTTCCTTTTCCGTCAAAGTTACTCACCGCAGGCGAAATAATTGTTTTTTTTATCTGGCAGTCGGTGGACTGAAAACACGAGAAGTGTTTGTGATGTTTGAAACGTCGCGCCAATTCGTTTAACAAAATCATATTGTTACCCGTGTCAGTGTGTTTAAGAGATTCGTCTTCAAGACAGGAAATTATTCCTAGAAAAATAATTAAATAAATAACAATCATATTAGATTGTTCTACCGTGGGATGTTGTTTCGATTGAAGTAATTGCCCGTGTCGTCCGTGGTACCTTTGTGTCGTTCTTCGATCATGTCACATATGAAGGTGTTGTCAAAGTACTCGATATGAGTCCACTCGATGCCCTCATTTAAATACTCTTGTTGTTCCGACTTGATTGTTAAGTCGAGAAATAATTTCTGCAACTTTTCATTGCAGTAGTTTATGCAAAACTGTTCGAATCTAAAATAATATTTATTTAAATTATTTTTTTTGTAATATATATATATATATAAATCCGTTTATAATTCGTGTTCAAAAAAGAAATATTACTATAAATGTTTTTGCGGACGAAAGCTCGTTGTATTATTTTAATTTGGATTTTCTTATGATACGATAGACATAAAAAAAATAGTATTTTTTAAATTATAACATCCCTAACCGTAGCGTTTACGATATACAATTCGGATTTTATAACGGAAACAATCCTGTTTTTCACTACAAAATGTTCATCTCTGTAGTAAAAAATAAAACTCGTTTTGATTAAAATTCGAATTAGAGACGTTTTTAAAATTTTCATAAATATTATACCCACTTAATTTCATTTTTATTAAATATTTTCTATGGTAAAATTAATCCGTGATAGTTGAATATAAAATATAACAATCAAGAACATTTTTGTTTAGGTAAGAGCGTATTTTGGTTATTTTAATTATTATTATTATTATTATTTTTTATTATTATTTTCATTTATTTTTATTATTTTGCTTATTTTTTAGTCTTCTTGATGGATTATTAGGAATTATGATCAAGTTATACGGAATAAAGGATTTTGGTTTAAATCAAGTTTAGAACGGAATTGTTTGTAATGTCGGGTTATTATTTTGTATACTCTAGGAATTTGTAAGCCTTCATGCATTGAATTTATTGGTCATACATCATTGAAATCAGTTACTTGCCTAAAAAATACAGATTGGAATGTTTTTATAGACCAATGTTTTTATGTTTTTTTTTTATGTTTTTTTATATGTTTTTATAGAATGTTTTTATGTTTTTTTTTTATGTTTTTATATCTTAGGGTTTTGCTTGATCCTAAATTTGAATATCGTTAGCCCTACTATTTTTAGTTAGCAGCAGAAATTCTGCATCGAAGTATAATGCCTCCAGTGGCGTATCTAGGAGGGGTCAGGAGTTATACCCCCCACCCGCAAAAATGTTTAATGTATATATATATTGTCTATTGATTATAATAAAAACACACAAAATTCAAAAAAAAATTTAATTTTACATTTTTTATACCCCCCTCCCAAAAAAAAAAAAAAAATTCTGGATATGCCACTGAATGTCTCGTATCAGATATAACATAACCATCAGTGATTTCACCATACATTTATGTGTCAGTAAATCTTCTGTCATTTAATTTTAGTTTGATATTTAATAATCAACCGCTATATGTTAATTATATAGATTCTATGAGTTAATAGCGAGCCTGGGCATTAACAAGTTAATAAGTTAAAAGTTAAGTTAATTTAAATTATTAACTTAACTTATTATCTTACAGATTAACTTAAAATTAACGCATTATTTTTTCATCTATCCTAATTAAGTTAATTTTGATTTTCAAGACCAGTAAAATATTTTTGTCAAATACCGTGAATATCGTTATCGTTTGTTCGATGAAAAATTAATGGAATTTAGAAAAATATCAAAAATAAAATCTAAAGGGTTCTGAAGAATTTTGTATTTTTATTTTTAGATAAGAACATTATATTGATCACGGTATTAACTAATAGGTCTTGGGAAAAGTAGACGATCGTCTAAAGATTATTACCTAAGTAAAAATAGCCATTACGTCCATGAATTACATTGTCATGGAAAGTGGCCATATATCTATATTACATAAATAGGTCCATATTATCATTGGTTAAAGAATAAAATTATTATTAGAATTATTTTATAATCAATGATAATTTTAAATTTGTGTACCCCTACAACCTAGTGCCTAGGACTAGTACAGTGACTGCCTACACACAACACTGATCAGTGATAACTCTACTTTTAATATAAATCGTTTTCTATGTGTATGTCTGTGTAATAGTGCATAATTTTTAAGTGTTGATTGCAACATTATAGAAGTCATATTATTGAACATGGACAATAAATATACAAGTAAGTTCTATTAATCTCAGAAATATTTTTTGTATGATGAAATAGTGAATAAATTAATTTAGGTAATATATTGTTATATTATTAATAGCTGACCAAAATGTTGAGATGACTCTCTTATTGAGATTTAATAGATATCTTGATTGAACCCAGGGTCGGCGAAAGCTATAGACGACCCGGGCGATTGCACGAGGCGCCAGCACGAAAGGGACGCCAAATTGAAAATTGTTTTCATCTAATCTATCTTTAATACGCATTAACGATCTACAGGAAGTAAAAATATAACAGTTGTGCTTTCTACTTCATATAGGTACTGCATCCATACAGCGCTGGTTTTTGAAGTAAAAATAATGCATGGAAACATACCACTGCATTTGTCTGTGTAAATAAATAGATGGTTGTAATATTTATTTTTATAAAATATTTACCCGTTTACAAATAAATTCATATAACTAGACGATTACGTAAAAAACGTGATGGTAAAACCGTTTGGACCTTACGGTGAAAATACCGCGGTGTGTGGCGTAAATCAAAAAGACATAGTTGCCCGACACACTCGCACAATTTATTGTTTTCGACAAGCTCTCGCTACGTACGATCTGCTGTGTAATGTCAAATACTTAAACTAACAAGTTACAGTTAACAGGTAATCAATATTCATATTTTTTGTTTAGTTAATTTCTACATAATATTTTGGTTCCATATTAATTATTTACAATGAACTCCGTTCTCTGGTTGTCTTAATAAATGAGTTGTTAGTGAAATATATTATTCCTATATTGTAGGCAGTGGCAGCGGTAAATAATATAAAAAACGTAAAAAAAAGTAAAAAACTTTCACGTAAAAAACGCTAAGCTTAAAATTAGAACTATTATATTCTTGCAACGAAAAAATAAAAACCTGTCCAAAAAATGCGTTGATATAATACTAAGTTATTATACTAAATATTTACTAATCTTATTTAAATTCACTAAAAAAACTTTATTTTACTAATACTCAAACTAAGTGGATTGGAGGGGGGTTTCAAGGCGCAATTAACTTAACTGAGTTGAAAAATATTAATAACTTGCCCAGGCTTGGTTAATAGTATTATTTATTTATTGAGTTCCATCGTTGATTGCAGTAAATGGGTAAGTAATGGTCATAGGCATACGGTTCATCGTATCAAATCGATCGTGTGACAGTTATAGATTTTTATAAACATGTGGGGACAGTCGATCGTCGACAATTTATTGCGAAATGTTTATCATGACTTGCAATCCGTTTCAATTCAGTATTTTTTATTAAATTGAATCGAAACAATTGACGTTATCTATAAGCAATACGTTATGAGTACTGATTTTATTTTCATTAAGAGTGAAAATAACAAAGATACGCTGGTACATCGTTGTATTTTCATGCTACTTCGAAAGTTCCTTCGATATTTAAATACTGTGCAAACGTAAAAAATACGTGTTAGTGATCGATGTTCAGGACGGTCTCGTAAACAGTATCGTTCACATCACGTCGATTGACGGAAAACATAATACCGGAGCTTTGTACCGTTATATAAAAAATAAATAAAGGCTACAAATATGCGTGTTACGCTTACCCGTTGTTATGCAGAATTTCGAAACCGTAAATATCCAGTATACCGATGGATTTGTTTTTGTTGAAACGACCGCCGTTTTTAGAAACAGTCGTTTTTAACGTTCTGTTAATATGCGCAACCAACCATTCAAACAGTCTGCTGTAAATGGCTTTGGCTAATGCGTCCTTGGCGAAATTTGACGTTTCCACGTCTAGACTTGACTGAATCACCTCGTCGTGAGCTTTTATCGTTTTATTCGTTAATGCGAATATTAAATCATCCTTTGGAACGCCTAGTAGCTGAAAACAACAATTTATTGTGTAACGTAATAAAATTAAAATAACGGTGATAGATATACTTTACAAGCAAATAAATCCAATGACGGATCAAGTCGATGTAACACCCGTAATATACTTGACTGTATTAATATGATATTATGTAAAATAAATAACCTATTGTTTGCATGAGGCACTGTGTTTCGGCATTTTTAACACGTTATCATTTTAAACAATATTTCTATAACTTTTATCTTTATATTTTTTAGTCTGCAGCACCGATAAATTAGATTCAAAGAGATCGTACCGTTGCAGAATTCGTATCGATACGACCGTGATCCACGTCAGACACAAGTGATATATTTTACGTGAATCGAGAACATTTGCTTGCGTACTGTAAGTAACGTCGAACGCTAATGCGATTTCAGATTCGGCGGAATAGTAGGTATTATTTATGCGTCGGGATTTTAATAAACACTAAACAGTAATAGTTATCGAAGTAAATTGGTCATCATGATGGGCATTGTTATATTTTATTCAAAATAATGGAGATGAACGCTAACTTGTTCCAAGGTGTTACAGTGCACTAATATCGCATAAGGTTTTACATACACTGTGTGTTGAAAAGCGCGTACCATGTTTCAACATGTACGTATAGTAAAAACCGTGACCGTAAGAGGCCAGTAAGAATTGGTCTTTATAACCAAAATGTTGAGAACATTTAAAAACTCGAAAATATAATAGGTATACGAACATAATATTATGTGTTATATATTCATCTAACTACTAAATTGTGACTTAAATACAGTCAAATGAAAAAGTATTTTTATTATAATTATTGCATAACGTGAATTGGATTTTGCGAGGTTTCAGTTTAGAAGGTATATTTTCTTTATTTCCTCTCAGCTTTAAATTCCAACCCGATACAATTTGTCAACAGTCGTTAGAGATAAAATGTTTTCCAAAAATGTATAGACGTTAATTGATAAACATTTGTTGACGTCTCTATATCAGATAAAAATTAGAACATACTAGATAGGTGTTTTAATGAGGATCTTCGATTTAAGGCCATTAAACTTGATTTGGAGGCATTATAAACGATTTCTACCGTACACGTTTTTTTACGATCTCCGGGCTTATTAAGAATATGATCGGAAACATGTTCAGGCTTATAATATAATAATTATGTATATCTTGGTCTGATATTGAACCTTATAAAAACATAATAAATAACATAAAGGGACCGATATTTTATGCTGATCCGCTATGCCACTGCTTTGAGTAATATCAATATGTGTAACTGAATTGTTGTTTTCTGAGGTTTTTACTACATAGTATTTTGCAGTATTAAATCCAAAACGTGAAATGGTCGATTTCGTGAACTGAGCTATGTCGGTACACATTCGTTAAACATAATATTATGTAAGCACTTATAACTGTTTATGATACATCACACACAATATTGTATAGTTTCGACTTGTTGTTTTATTCGTGGTAATTTCATATATTTGAAATTAATAATAAGTGTATGGGTACGTACCGTGCATTTAACTTAAATCTTTATAAAAAAAAAAAAAAAAAAAATTAATATTTAAAAACTTATGAATGTTGACTGAATGGCTTAAGAGTGACTTAACTTTGTTTTGTGCATTTATGTTGAAGTGCAAGTCATAAAATAAAATATTATCTATTTTAACGAAAAAAAAAAAAAAAAATAATAGTTTATTTTAAGTTCTAGCTGTACCTAATTAATTCATAATTTAAAATGATTCTAAAATGTAAGGGTCGATAATTATCAGCAAAAGTGCTTTTTTTTTAACAGTTAAGAGAATTTCGAAAAAGTAATACACCAGAATAAATTATATTAGCAAACATTTAATGTTATTACAAAAAACGTCCAATAAAAAATAAACTTTACATTCATTTTTTGCTTTCAGTAAGATACTCATAGAACTAAATACAATACATTTTTTTTTTTTTTTTTTGAGGAAACGCAAATTAAATGTTTATAAAATTGTTACTAAGAAAAACTTTATAACATTTAAATTATGAATTTTTATATTATTTTAAAAAATGTAATTTTATGGGATTGTTCTGTTGAATATCGTAAAAAAAAAAAAAAAAAATCAGGAAAATATCTACAATAATAAAAACTACAAATCATAGAAGGGTCTTTAGGACATAATGTATATTTTACATGACGTTTTAATAAAACATGTGGAATTTACGAATAAAAGTATAAATAATTTTTAAATGCTTAAAATTTTATTATTTTTATGGTTTCGAAAATCAACACAATATTTTATAACTTATTTTTTTTACGACTTCTATAATTACTATTTATATTGTAATTCACTCATTTTACGAAATGGAAAATTTCACGTTAAGGATGTAACTCATACTCATTATTACGATTATAAATATTAGTTTTATTACATCAGCCACTAGGAAAACTGTGCCGATATTTTCAATTTTGCAAATTTCGTCATGGGCGCGAACTTTAACATTACCCAAATGCAAAATACTAGCAATAATTTTCAACACGTCCATTGTTTCTTCGAGATCGAATTCGAGAGTTTTGAAAGCTTGCAACGTTTCTTTATATTTTTTAGAATCCTCATCAAAAGTCTAAAACCAAGATTCATATGAACCAGAATCGTTAGTACATATTAGTACATGTGTGTTTTAGAAACAAACTTGGTGGTCTTCGAAACTGTCACAACTGTCATTCTTATCAGTTCTTAAGTATTCGTAACCTATGTCCTTGTCGATCTCCAAAAGTTCTGCCAGCCATTTATCCGCCCCGTTGACCAGTTGATAGAATATGTGATAGTTTCTTTCGTTATGTGCCTGCTTTATTACTCTAGATTTTTCCAGTAAATAGTTAAGAATATTGCCACCTATAGGTTGATCCTAAGAAAATTATTAATGAAAAAAAATGTATTAGTTTATGTTTTATTTCATTATTTGATGCATAATATTATAGTAAATTAGGGTTCTAAATTTGAAATATTTCACTTGAAATAGTTCAATGAAATTTTGATACAGCTATTTATATTTTATTTTTTCCTGATTTCTAATCTACGTATGTAACATAAGTATTGTTTAGAAAATATTATTAATCAGGTTTCTATGTCACTAGTGAATTTCCTGATAATATATTTACAGTTTGGTCATAAAGTCAAACAAATGGTAATTTATGGTACCTTACATTTTTGGTTTTGTGGTTGAACGTTATAATGATATTGTTATTAATTTCTATTAAAAGTTATAATTTTTTTAATTTAAAACGAAATTATAAAAAATAGTTCATAAGAATAATGCAAAAAAAAAAAAAAAGTAAACCGGTGAAACTTCTAGACTAAATGAGACTCTACGGTTGGACGAGATACTAGGACGAGTTAATTTATTTGCTGCATTTACCATTTAATTTGAAATCAATGTAAAATTGCTTTCCAAACATTGATTCTGAGTAAAAAAAGGTAAGATTAAGTAAATCAAACAACTAAAGATAATCAGTAGTAGAAGTTTGAGAAAATCGAAGATTTAACCTGCTCATAAACAGTATAAATTTCATAATAATATCTTGTAAATTATGAAATATCTTTAAAATACTAATATAAGACCTTAGAAAAAATGTTTTGAATATGTATAGAGTAACAACCAATATAAAAACTAATATAATATAAGATCAATTCATTTGTTTAAATTTATGTAGATAAATACAAAAAAAAAAAAATAATAATGAACACGTCTTGGTAAAAACAATATTTAATAATGATAGTCTAAAAAAAAAAATTACCTTATGACCTGTATTTACGACTACTTTGTATGTATTTTTTAGGTTTATTGTACATCTTATGATGTAAAAACGTCAAACTTACCATATGATCGAACTGCACATCCATGTATTTTCCAAATCGACTAGAATTATCATTATTACGAGTCTTAGCATTGCCGAATGCTTCCAATACTGAATTCGCTACCAAAAGTTTATCTTTTATTATCTGAACAATATCGTCACTACTTGTTGCTTTTGCGATATATTCTAAAACTTTTTTAGATGCTTCTGTTTTCCCCGATCCGGATTCACCTACACGTTAAATTAAATATACAAACATAATATTCATAAATACGTTTTGCATTATAAAGTAAACTAATTAAAAAGGCTGGTCACTAACGAGTTAAGTGATTATTGACTATGATACTTAAACAAATATATTTTTTTAAAAGTTACGTCTAATCTGACGAGTTGAATTTTTTTTGTAATATGCAGATACTAATAAGTTAATTATTTTACAGTCACGTTTAATTATATTTTACTTCATTAAGATGTCTGTCGAGATTAAAAAAATTTAGTTTATTTAATTTTTTTCAAAAAATTATTATAATTACAATACTACATACAAATTATTATTTTTGGTAAAAATAACCGAAATTATGACTGTGAAGATGTCGGACATACAATTCATGAACTTTAAAATGGGGATCAAAATTATGTACATAAAAATTATGTAAATATTATATTTTTTTCTTTTCAACTTGTAATTTTTACTTGTTAATAAAAAAGAAAAGTAATTTTTAACTTTAAATTCAGCTTAATATTCTCTAATTAAACTTAATTTAACGAGTTAAAAAATGAATAAATTTGATCAGTCTTCGTAATCGATATGTTATATTATTATGAATTAAAAATTAAATACTTTTAGTGAATGTTACATTGATATTATATTTTATTTATTTATTAATTATTATTTAATAGGAATTTATTTTTAATTGATTAATTTAAATTGTATTTTATTTATTTTAATTTTAATATTCACAGACTATTATAATCGATATGTAACATAAAACTGGTTATTGGTTATTGTTTATTATTAATTGAATCTGTATAGAAAGCAACCCGTGGAATTCGATTTTTTTATATAAAACGGTTTGACGGATCTAGTTATTAAGTTATTGATTCTGTTTTTTTATTATACTACGATAAGAGAAAGTTAATCAACTCAACCCAAATGTTATCATAAAAAAACCAATACTCGATGGTCCCTTCAAAAAGTTATGGCCATTATCTGTTTCAACAGTAAATCGAAAAAGGAAAACAACTTAATTAAAAAAATAATTTTGATAAAAAACAAAAGGAAAATACCAGTCTGCCTATATTCTTATGGAATATTAGATACATTTATTCGTGCAGGTAATAAACAAATACATAATGCTTGTATTACAATGAGCATTGTATTAAAAAAATAATTTATGATTAATATTAATTAATATTGAACACAAATGAAAAATCATACTTTATTGTTATTTGTTTGTTCAGATACATATTCACGTACATATTACCAAGGTTGGACATTAACGAGTTAAAAGTCAAAATTAATTTAAAACGTTAAGTTAATTAACTCGTTCCTTTTTTTAAAAATTAACTTTTAACTTAATTAGTTATTTTTTTTTTTTAAGATTAACGTGTTAACTTTAAGTTAATTTTATTTAAAAGTATCTAAATTAAGTTAATTTTAGTGCAAAGAATAATGCAAATTATTAAACGAGGTTATTTATAATTTACTATTTAATATGTATTTCCTGTAGACAAAGATAATATGAAAAATAACTTTAATAGTCATTATATGGGCTATATTTTATCATTATATTTTTATAACATTGTTATAGTATAAACACTATAAACTCATGGAAATCCTAAGAATATTCTGGGAAAATAATAAATACCATGAGAGCGAGTGTCGTTGAGGGATTAATCACAAAACAACTGTGGTATAATTTCCAATTTAATTTCATTATTAAAATTGTAAATTGATTTGAGTATGAGTTCAGGACTAAGATTTATTTTAGAAAAGTAGGTTTTTTGATAGCTAGTTAATACTTTTATGTATCATTTTAAATTTTCTCAGTAATTTTCTTGAATGTAAAAAAAACTTATATTATGTGTGCAATTTTTTATTTTTCCAAATTAGAACATTTTGACTTTAAACTAAGTTAAGTTAATTTTTTTACAAAGTTAACTTTTAACTCACTGAGTTAACGAAAAAAATATAAGTTACTTTAAATTTAACTCAACTTTATTATTTTAAAATAATTTAACTTAACGAGTTAAAAAAAATTGTTAACTTGCCCAGCCTTGCATATTACCTTATACCTTATACCTTGATGGTTACTTCACAAACATTAGTTAAAACATTAACATTAGTTAGTATTCGAAATAAGCTATTAAAAGAGTTAGGAAATTGCTATGTATACTTACTTAAGTATGCGTAATTTAGTGTTTTTAATTTACCAATTATATATTATATAAATACAAAAAAATATAAAATAAAATCGTTTACATCTATTCCATTTACGTCAAAAAAAGATTTAATTCAAAATATACCTTGAAAACACATCAAATTTACGTTCATTTTATGATTACTTTTAGTAAGATTAATTCATTAACGACTTTAGACCACATTGTTATAATATTTTACTAGGAAAATTGTATTCATTTGATTATTTGGGTTTACCAGATATTAAAATGCACTGGTCTTGGCGATATTCTTTCAATGACGCGAAGACTTTGGCTGAAATCGCAAATCTAGAAAATACATTTTTAAACTTTTAACATTAGACAGTAATAGTACGTTAGTACATCAGAACATTTGGTAAGTTAATACATAGTAAAGTTAGTATATAAGTAAAGATTTTATACATAGGTACGGTTACAGTACATTGGAGCAAAAATTCGTTAATCATGGTCCTATTTGGCTATCGTTTTGAGCTAATGTTTTTAGATAATATAACATATCAATTATTTTTTCAATGGATATTCTGAACTCACATGTGTGGATTTTCTTCAGCGTGGCTCTTGTTGTAGTTCTTAAACATAAATTTGTCATAATATTCTGATAGCGGCTTGTATGGGTTTACACTTATGAGCACTTCTCCTATGTAAGTCTGCGGAAGGAAATAGTAAAATTGTGTGTTATTTACAAATTATTTATGCTGTGAGTAATGTGTTTGTATTAGTAACTCAGTCGAATGTTTCAAATGAAGTTTAATAAATGGTTAATTTTATTTTATTTTTTCATAAACTCGTAACGTGACGAACGGGAAATGTCGTTTTTGAGCGAGTTCAGTAAACGTTTGTAGAAAATGAAAGGTTAAACTCGAGTGAAACATTCAAACTATGTATGGTCAGTATAATAGGCGCAAATAGGGAATTTTAATAAGGGGGGGGGCTCCGCCTTACAATTTTTAACTAAAAATTATAAGTTGAGGTTTTATCCCCAAAGCTTTAAATTATCCAAAATAATCATTAAATTATCATTATTTGTTATAAGCACTAATAGCTGTAATGTTGCAAGATAAAAGCTTAATTAAATAAAAATAATCACAATCATATAAAATAATATATTTATACAATACAAAATTATAATAAATCCGGAGGACTGAATTCACATTAGGAGGGCTTAGCCTCTTAAATCCCATCCTATTTGCACCTATGGTTAGTTTATGAATAATGAATAATCACGAATAAACTCTTTAATCTCACGTATATGATGTTTTTTTCCAGCCGCTTCTTTAGGTTTTCAATCAGTTTCTCCTCGTCGCAATCGTCTAGCAATACCATGTTTGTTACACCGGTTGTCTCGTCAAACATTGCCACCGTTTATATTTGTCGAAAAGCTGATGGAATATTGGAAATTTTTTTTTATTATCTTTAAAAGAATTTTTTTGATTATATGTGTGTGCTAGAGCTGCTTTGTTTTTCGTTGTTAAACTACTCGTCTGGAAAGAAATCTATAATTATTCAGTGTTTTATAGCGAGCCAATTACATTGTTGTCAAGAACAGAAGGCGGAGATTATTTATATGTTATTAATTAATCACTATTATTGTCTGATAAGAATGATTTTATAGTTTTTTATACAATTTATCTCGTATAGTTTTACGGTGACGTTTTGTTTTAGAATTTTATCGTTTATAAAATGTATTCAAACATTTATATTATCCATTTATTACGTGTAATTAAAAAAAAAAAAAATGCATACTTATATAATGATTATCGGTTCGTTGTATTTTGTTTTAACGAAGCGCTCTTGTGAATCGAAATTATAAATAATTTTGATTTCAATTCAATTGGACGCTCGTGAAGTGTTTCCATGGTAAATTTAAATCCGTTTTTGTTTAGTTCGTTGGCATACTGCATAATATCGCAATATTTTTATTAACGCGCTTTATTGAAATTTTATCCATGTAGTGCCTTACTAGTTATTTACCACGCTTGTTTTTACTGTTTTAAATTTTTTAGTGTTCACCAAAAATTGTCTTTTGTATTTTGTTCTACAACGAACTGAAAATCCTGAAAATAAAAACTTTTATTTTTGTCAGGTACATCTATAACACATTTAGGTAATAACTTAGATTTTTTTTGATACAGTGCTACATGTCTGCTATCTTACATAATTTAATTATATTTTTAACGCACTGAGAATTTTTAAACGTTTGAATAAATTATTAAAAAAAACAATATATGCTAATTACCAGTGTTGTGTATTTGTAAACAAAAAATTAATATTACATTGGATGGAGATTCTGTTTCAAATTTGTAAAATACCTGAGATTATTGAGTGGTAGTAAATAAGTAATAATTAAATCAATAAATTATTAAATATAAAAATATAAAATATTTAATAATGTATTTATATTAAATATAAATTATAAAATACAATCGTAAATTTACAATTAGTATTAATGAGTAGTTAATAAGTAAATAATACTGCAATTTGGAGATTCGTGATCGTTATATTCAATTCGTTATGGCACTCAATTTTATTGCGTTCGAGTTATTAGAAAGCTAAATAAAGTTGCTTTGACGAAAATTGTTCATTTTTCTTGCGTATTAATATGTTTTATATATATATTTTTTCAAATTTAGTTTTCTCTATAGAGTATAATAATAAAAAAAAGAAAATTCTTTACGTTTCATAACACATACATGCAACTATTTTCTATTAATAATTTCCGTCCGATATGTACTTATATAGTAGCAGAAACATAAAACACGCATTCTGTTTATCATTCACAGTTAATAATATTACTAGTGTTCTTAACAAGGCACTAGAAATATTCGACTCGTTAAATTATACACTTTGTTCTTGCAACGTAATGAAATAAATATCCATTCAGAATGATTTTTTTTCTCTTTTCATAAACGATCTATTATCGACTAAAAAATCATTAATTAATAATTATAACCAAATATTTAAACAGTAAAATATTAAGCATTTATAAATATTATTTAATTATGCTGTAAATGTTAAACCTTCGCTGCAATAAATGGTTAAGTAATATATTGGGGTTTTGGTTTGTAAGTGACCTATAATATTATTACTAAAATTGATTATTTGTTTTTTATTACAAATAATAACTATTTGATAGTTACCACAAAAGTATGCACATAGTACATTGTGGTACATACGATCAAACTATTTTAAATTATATCATTTATAGTTCAATATTTTATTATATCAGACATTGTCGAAACGAATAGTATAACAGTAGAAACAGTATAACAGTATATAATAGTAGAACTAGTACTTTGAATAATGACACGAAGTGGCCATTATAGTAGAGTACTTAGTTGAAATGCCAATGCATATACTATATTGTACGATTTTCATGTTTATGTCTTTATACTTGATTTAATGAAATAAGCATAACTTTGATTTCATGTTAATGCGTGCTAAAATATGAGTTTCTCACTGATTGTTTTACGCATTCAAATATATTATTTTAATACATCACTTATGAATAATAGAATAATAAAGACATTAAACTGAGTACGAGTAGAATTAAAAATGCTTGCGGTTCTTTTTGTAAATCTTATGTCACTATTCTATTCAGGACTCAGAAGTATTTTAGTACCTATCAAGTGCAATATATGAAGAAAAACATTTGACAACATTTGATTGTTTTGCCATTGACTGTCGAAAGTCGTTTGCAGCAAATAAAGAAAATGCATTATTTTTATGTTATTACAATAGCTACATTTTGATACCAAACGCAGTGTAAAACTAACAATACTTCCCTCCGATTCACTACTAAAGTCACGTGATTGATAAAAATAATCTGATGGTAATTAAGTCGATCATAATTATTATGCTTTCGGGGTGGAAGCCCATCGACAAACGCCTATTTTCCAAGGATCTTAGAGGTGATTCGATCAGGTTCAAATTTAACCAACTGTATACATTATAAGCCTGTTATAAGCTTCTTACTTAAGAAACTATATTTCATGGGATAGGTCACAGAATTACCACAGTATTATGATGAGTTTAACATTTTTGAGTAGCTTATTAAAGCCTTATAAGCGAAGCGACATTCTTTTTTTTACAATTTTTCCGATTGAGAAGCAGGCTATAAGGAGTGCCATTTGTGAGCAACATAAATGTTTTACATTGTTGTTATACCACAACCACTGGTTTAGTTAAATTTGTTATGACTAGTAAATACCAGTAACATACCAGTAAGTACTAAATATCAGTTATTATGGTTCATCACTTTGTACATTTTTATTTCGAAATAAATCGGTTGTTAGTCTAGTTACGAAAACAAATATATACTTGTTTAACTTATATATATATACGAAACTGGAACTGGTGAAGCAATACACTATTTAGTCTCTATGTATTCCTATACGTATTTTGGTATGTATTAAGTAATAAATAGCATAAGCGCATGGGGGGGGGGGGGTGCTCAGGGTGCTTAGCACCTCCAGTTTCTTAGAATATTTATTTCATTATTTTACCAATAATTTGTAAATTGGAAAATGTTTTCTCACTATAAATAGACAATAATATATAATATAGTTGATGAGTTCATGATTAAAACAGTATTGTATAATTGCACATTTTACTGTTTCAGTTTTTGTCTAACTGTTAAACTATAAATAACAATCATAATATCACAGAAAATCATATTATCTTATCTTACTTTATATTTTTATATTATCTACGGTTTACGGTTAGCTACGAATTTATGTTCTATTTATAACTTTGATTATTACTTGGTTTTTAGTAATATTTAACCAGTGGGCTACGCTAAATTGTATGCGGAATGACAAATATTATTACCAATCAGACAAACGATATGATTCATTACTACTATTTACTACTATTTATACTATTTACATTTTATATACTAGTTCATATTTTTGATATATCAGGTTATTTTGAAAATATCGACTGCTAGTTTATCAGCAGAAATGCTGGTCTTAAAGAATATATACCATCCAACTTTGAATTTGACGACTTGAAAAATCAATGTAATAAAAGTTCGTTTCCAAATGTTTATAAACTAGTTCAAGTGGTAATGACAATTCCAATTTCTTCTTCAACGCATACCTTTTCAGCTATGCGTAGATTGAAAAATTGGTTCCGCACTAGTATGGGCCAAGAAAGATTTACTAAACTATCTACGCTTAGCATTGAGAGATATCTTACCAATAAAATAGATGGGGAAATTATATTGGAAAAAAATTTGCATCATCAAACAGGAAATTAAATCTTGTTTAATATATTATTAATAATTACGTATTATTATAACTTATAATATAATTACCATTAAATATTCATTAATAAAAATTAAAAACTATGGCAACGTAGTTGATTATAGTATTAGAGAGGTGTGGGGGCAAAGCCTCCCACGGACATGTATACTATAAATTATTCCATCACTCCCTGAATTCACATACAACGTGCGCTTATGATAAATAGCCGAGTGAAAAGTAAAATAATATCACATAATATAGTTGAATGTTGAAATCACTATTCGTGTTTATTATAAAATATACTTATAGATATACTCGTAAGTAATAGGATTTCTTCACTTTTTGACCGGAAAGAATTTAAGGAATTGTATATTCATAAAATTATTTATCTTGGTCAACAATTGTAAAGGTTAAGATACTTTAAATCAGTCTTGAGATCAAGATGATTAAAACAAAAAAAAAATATTGCCATTTATGCTTACAATTTGTTACCAACATAAATTTTACTATAATAATAATGTAACTATAAGTATTTGCACCATAATGTATTTTAATTGTGTTTTAAACATTTAAATAGTTGAATAGTGGAAATTATTCTACAGATTGCTCATACTGGTACGCATACCTGTTATTTAAATGAAAAAAAGTCATAAGCTTACACAAGGACAGTGTATAAAACGAATTAGTGGGCAAAATGAGCAATAATCTTTTTCAAAAAGTAAATAAAAATCTCGTTCATTCTATTAAAAATTAGATTGACTAAGCTTTTTATACTTTTTGTGAATTCGGTTATGCTTCTTTTTCTTTCAATCCTTTTTATTTTTTAAGTTGAGGTCATGTATAAAATATGAAGCTATGGTGTATTAGAGAGATGATCGACTTTTACAGAAGGAGTCGAATAAGTTTACAGTAAAATATTATAAAAACAAGCAGGAGTGGGCTTCAGAAGTTGCACACTCTACTTAATTATATAAATAAGTAATATAGTGTCAAATATAATAAACAAATATGAAACAATTAGTATTTTTTAGTAGTACAATTAGTATTTTTTTATGGATTTTCGAAAATAATATATTTAATGTCCAAAAAAGCATGGAGATCTGTGCTGGATCTAAGTTTTTTCTCCATTTACTGTTTGCCAGAGAAATAATTTAATTTGTATAATATGTTTATTTCTGTATAATGTAGAATATTATACTTTGTATAAAAACATAATAAAGTTT